TTTCAGGCATTGTAATGTAGGCTTCGGGCCATATTCTGAGGGTTCATTCTCTTATATTCTGATTTTATGCCTTTGAAGTCGGAGGCGGGTGGGGTTTTTTGCTCAAGGGAAGGCGTCAAGGCCTTCTGCTCTTCCCACGCAGTGCGCCGCCGAGCTCTACATCCAGAGCATGCCTTGGACAACCACAGTGACAGTGAAGAAGAGCTTGCTGCCTTCTGTCCTCAGGTATCTTGGGTGTGGGAAGTACACCACCAGCTAGTGTTCTTTTAGCAACCTTGAACCATATGGCAGCTCACATTTAGGCGGTAAGTAGGTTTTCAAGCTTATTACGGGCGCTCCAAGGCCCCACCCTCCCCTTGCCCCCAAGAGCAGTGAGGAGAGAAGCTAGTGTTATATTGGGACTGTGTGCGTAGATCTCAGTTTGAGCCTGGTGACCAGCACACCCTCTTCCATGTCTCCTTTTAACCCCTACCGTCATGGCAGAACTTCTGGAACTGGCGTGATCGTCTTTTAAACAGCCCAGCCCACCTTATGTTGGGCAATATGTCTTCCTGGCCACCTGTGAAAAGTAATCTCTGGATCAGTTATTTGCTTAAGAGTAAGTGACTGGTTGACTCCCCAGACCGCTTTCCTTCTACTCAAGATTGATAAGTAAGGGTGTTTTCCTTGGGGGAGCAGCCTAAAAGGGATCAAGATATTGACTAAAGTCCCCAGTCTTGTCTGGTTGCACTGCTGGCCGTAGGCTAGCCTTTAGGGCCAGCTAATTAGTAGAGCTGTAACTGGGGAACTGCACCTGTTCCTAATGGCATCCTCTCTTCAGGCTTGTTGGTCTTTTCTTTCCTAAGCTGGATGATTCTACTGTTGCCAGGGAATTGGCCATCACAGACTCTGAGCACTCAGATGCTGAGGTCTCCTGTACAGACAATGGCACATTCAATCTTTCACGGGGCCAAACACCTCTAACAGAAGGCTCTGAAGGTGAGGGGAACCGTGGACGTGAGTTCGTAATGGCCCTGTTGCTGCTCAGCTTCCCTGGGCAGAGAGGGTACTGCCCCCTCCTCTCCTGTTTTCTGAGGTGTGGGTCAGGTGGTGGAGCAGCTTGGGGCGGGGGGTATGGCTTCAGCCGGGATTGCACTGCTGCTCTCCTTGAAATCCTCCCTTAGGAGCCTCGGGTTCTAGTCTCCTGTGGAGCACAGGGGAGGAACGGAAGGGATTTCTTTGGCCAGTAGAGATCATAGCAGTGAATAAGTGGAGGGGAAAGGCCGACCAGTGCTATAGGTTTTGCTTCACCCTGAGAAATTCAGGGTAGAAAAATCTGGTTACATGGAGCTGACTTTGTGAGGCTAGGGCATAGGAGTGCCAGGCTGTTGCCATGTCTCAGACACCCCTCTATTTTCCCAGACCTAGATGGTCACAGTGATCCAGAAGAATCCTTTGCCAGAGACCTTCCAGACTTCCCTTCCATTAATGTGGATCCTGCTGGCCTAGATGATGAGGACGATACCAGCATTGGGATGCCTAGTTTGATGTACCGTTCCCCACCAGGGGCTGAGGAGCTCCAGAACCCCCCTGCCAGCCAGGAGGAGGCTGTACTGCCGGAGCTCCTGCTCGGTTCCCTGCCTGCAGGGTCCAACCTCACCAGCAACCTCGCCAGCCTGGTCTCCCAGGGCATGATCCACCTGGCCCTGTCAGGGGCCTCCCAGCCAGGCCCTTCTGGCCCGCCTCCCCGGAGAACAAGAGGCTTCCTCCGGGCCCCCAGTTCAGACCTGGACACTGATGCTGAGGGGGATGACTTTGAACTTCTGGACCAGTCGGAGCTGAATCAGCTGGACCCTGCCAGTTCCAGGAGCCACTGAGGCAGAGACTCCTTTTAGGGGTCACTGTGGTTTAGTTTTTTTTTCTCCTTATCCTACTTAAGGTGAAGGGGCAAGGGAAGAACCCAGGTCCCATCCACTGAATTACATAGGTTTGCTTGGTGGCCTGGCAGAAGCTCAGGCCTGCTGAGAGGATACTCACTCCCCTGCTACCAGCTGGATGCCCATTTCTGAGCTCAATCACTGTAGTGAGAGTGCTCCCCTGAGGGAGGCTTCTCTCCATCAGAATGGTACTTTGGGGAACACAGTAATCAGGGGTATTGGTTCCCCTTTGAGGGGGTGCTGCTGTTTGCTTCTAGGTATGGGTGCTTGGGGGTGATAGAAGCACCCTTCCCTTCCTCCCTCCATCACCTCCTTGGAGCTCCAAGTCAGGCAGCAGCTGGAAGAGTTACATTGCCATCTTCCTCTTTTGCTAAGCCATGATTTGATTTGTCTCTTTCTAAGCACGTGTTTTGGTTCTGCAGAGCAGGCCTGCTCCCTCTGCCCCGGCCCATCCTCATTTCTTGAGGCCTAACCTCCAGTGCTCCAAAATAGTGTTTGTGACATTTAAGAAATGTGAACATGATGTGGGGGTGGGCCTCTTTGACATTACCTTGGGCTGTGGGGTCAGCTGGCTGAGAGGGCGAGTGCCTCTATATCTCCTGGTCTCATGGAATCTTCTGAAGCTGCCTGGTTATTTTTGGTGCTGCTAACCCCTGGCTCCATTTGACCATCAGCCTGAGCAATGAGCAAAGCAATACCATACCATATCCATTTCCGTGTTCCTGTTCCTTCCCCTGCTCCTCCTTTGGAGAAGCAATAATTGCATGGGGGATGTCAAAGTAGCACTTTACAAATGGCTCATTGGCATTCACCCCAGGAGCCACCAGCTCTTCTTGCACCAGCTCTTCTTACTCCCTGTTCAGTTCTTTTAATACTTTTATTTTTAACTGCTTCCCAACTTGGCGGGGCCTCTTTTAAGGATGAGCCTAGTTAGCAAGAGTGTGTCTGTAGTCAGCAGAGACTTCTCTAAGGGGTATCTGTTCTACTGCCCCTAGAAAAATCATGTGAGACAAAAACTAAAAATGGTAATTCTAAACCTATGCCAGCCTACAGCCTCTCTTTGCCTCCCCAATCAGAGCTCAGGCCAAACTCTTCTGTCCTCTTGCCCTCTGCATTAACCCTTTGCTGATCCTCAGGGACCACTCCCCCAACACCCCCATACCTGGGCAAGGGATGTTGGACAGAGCCCATTTTCATGTGCTGCAGGTGGGAGTGTGCTAACATGTTTGCTCTTGGTTGATGGAAAAGGTAGAGGCCAGGAGTGAAAATTAAGAGAACGGAGAAGAGCTAGGTGCCTGTTCATAGTCACTTGTGTGTGTGAAGGTTAGGGGTAAGTGGTATCTCCCCACTTTACAGTTCTCAGACTTTGGACACCTACTGTCTTCTCAGAGCCCAGATGTCTCACAGGTGAGCTCTGATGTGGGAAAAAATGGGAAGTGTGGAAGAGGAGTGGGTTTTGGTGTGTTTGCATGAATGTGTTTAGCTTCAGGCCTTGGAAGTTGGGAAGAGGGAGGGAGGAAGGAGAGCAAAATCTTCAGAAGGTGTTTCTTGTTCCTGGGGGATCCTGCTCTGAATCTCCTTAGTCCTCCACTGTGAACTGGGGTGGGGATGGGCGGTGGGGGGCGGGTGGTGTTGGGGAATAAATCTTGTATGAGAACAATCTTTTAAGAGACTGATGTTGAATGGTGTTTTACCCATGATAGTCTTCTCGTTAATCTGAGATGTGATTAATCTGAGGTGACAGCCTCAGAAGAGGAAGCCTGTGTGAGGGACCCACCTGCCTGTCCCTATTTGTGACCTTTGTGATGGTCAGAACAGTCACCAAATATGAGGCCACTTCCCTCCCCAGGAGAGCCCAGACAGCACAACTGGCACCCTTGGCTGGCATCTAGCCTGCAGTCCCATCATTTTTAATTTTTTATAGTAAGTTTTAAGGTTTTTTATTTATTCATTTGAGACAGATAGAGAGCATGAGCAGGGGGAGGGGCAGAGGGAGTCTCCGCTGAGCAGGAAGCCTAATGTGGGACTTGATCCCAGGACCCTGGGATCATGACCTGAGCCAAAGGCAGAGGCTTAACCATCTGAGCCACCCAGGAGCCCCCCCCCTTTTTAGGATTTTGTTTGTCAGCACAGCAGGGGGAGCAGCAGACAGAGGGCGAAGCAGGCTCCCTGCTGAGCAAGGAGTCCCATGTGGCACTCGATGCCAGGACCCCTGGATCACGACCTGAGCCGAAGGCAGACACCCAACTGAGCCACCCAGGCATCCCCGTTTTTAATTCTTAATACTGTTCCCTGGCTGTGTGAAGACAAGTACCTGCATCAAAGGCTAATGAGACTTTAGGTAACAGGCTTTAAAAAGTAGCACCATGCTCCTCCTCTGGGTTGAGCTGCAGGGACAGCTGCTCTTTGGCCTTCAGCTGACCTCAGAAACTAGAAACACTTATTTCAGGCTTTGTCCCATTGGCCACTGTGGGCAGGAATGGAAAACACCTGCCAGGTGTTGCCATAAGATCGACTCGGCCAACAGGAAACTTTTCTACAAGCTTTGCGGCTTAACAGTAGCCCCCTCCCAACCCTGCCTTTCCTTGGCGTCCAAACCACAGCACGTGTTGAGCGCCCCCTGTGTGCGAGGCTCAGTAACCCGCAAATAAGGGTAGCGCTATGCTTCCAGGGCTCTTAGGCATTTTCGTGTCTTCCCAACCACCCTCCTGCTAGTACCTCTTGTTCCTATTTTACAAATGAGACTTATCGACGAAAAGAACGTTGGGCCGTGGGAGAGGACACGTCCCTGTGGGTAACTGACCCTGTGACCTTGAGCAAGTCGCTAGCCCAGCGGGAGCTGATCCTAAGCTTTCTCCCCCCGGGAACACCGTCCCAGCTCACGGTCACGAGCTCAGCCGCCGCTGGAAGTGGGTTTCGAGACTTCAGCCCACGCCCCGAGCGGCAGGGGGGGCGGGTAGAAGCGTTCTGGAGCTAGCGCCGCGCCCCCGCCGCTGAGACCCCGGAGGCGGGCGCCCAGCTCCGGATTGGACCGAACTACGGCGCCCGGGAAGGGTTGCTTCGTGCCTCGCGAAGACGTCCCCTCCCGCCAATCAACGCTTGCGACCCGCCCTTCTCGTCGCCGGAAGCAGCCGTTGCCCCGAGCAACTGCAACGTCCGGCTTTCAGAGTTAGCGGCGGGAAAGGCCATGAGTAAAGGCCGGGCGGAGGCCGCGGCGGGAGGTAAACGGGGCAGTGGGCGCGGGGGAGACCGGGCGGGGGGCGGGCGAGGCGTCGGTTGAGTGACCCCCCCATCCCTGTCCCGTCTCCTCGTAGCCCCCGGGATCCTCCTGAGGTACCTGCAGGAGCAGAACCGGCCCTACAGCGCCCAGGACATGTTCGGGAACCTGCAGCGGGAACACGGACTGGGCAAGGCGGTGAGGACCCTCTCCTGGGATTCCTCCCCTTGGGTCCCCTCGAATCAGTCTGGGGTGCTGCCCTCTCGAAGCTGCCATTCTAGCCTTGGGCTTCCTAAGGCTTGTCGGGCGCTTCCCGATCTGGGGCTGAAATTCCCGCTGCCTGGGCCCCCGAAATCATTCCTCTGATTGCCCGCCCGTCCCTACCCCCTCCCCAGGCGGTGGTGAAGGCACTAGAGCAGCTGGCCCAGCAAGGCAAAATCAAAGAGAAGGTGTACGGCAAGCAGAAGATCTATTTTGCCGACCAGGTGAGGGAAACCTGTGCAGATTATCGCCCGTGTGAGACCCCGACATTAGGTGAACCAGTCTCTAGAATGAACTCTCTTCTGGAGAATTTGAGGCACCCCATGAAACTCAACCTGTCTTACGCCATGAAAAGGGCGCCAGGCACCCTTTAAATCAAGGTGGGTACTCCCCTTGCTGTGACCCAGATTAGTGAGACTTCCAGATTCGGGACATGATCGATGACAGAAGACCCTGAATTGCTGCTGCCAGGATCCATTCCCGCTTGGAAGTTTCTTTTCCCAGGCATCTAGATTAGAACCACCATCTGCCAAATGATTCGCCTTCTGTCCCCACCCCTCACTCCCGACATAGATAACACTAATTTTGTATCTCTGGGCCAGCCCACCACCTGGAGCCTTCCAGACCTTTCTGAGTCAATACTAATACCGCTAAAGTAGAATGCCTCATCTCCCTAAATGGGCTCCTCTTACCTGCTTCTACCTCTGTGGAGTCACGCCTCACCCAACCCAGAGACTGGGGAGTGAGTCACTCTTCCCTTTCCCCACTGCCCTGTTGGTTTTCCCCCTTCCTGACTCCGCCCTCTCCTTTCCATCAGGTGTTCCTCATCTCTCCTGATACCCTCCTAACATCTGCTCTGGCCTCCTCAGCCATCGTAAACACTGCAGCCAGAAGGGTCTAATTGGCAATAGTGCCATTGCCCGACTTCAAACTCTAGCGCCCCCTAGAACAGGGAAAAGGTACTTGGAGCCTAGGCCCCAGGCTGCCGCCTGCTTCACTGTACCTTCTGGGTCCATTCACCAGTACTAGACCATTTAGATGAGTTTTACTCCTGTGTCCTTCCTCTGCCTGGAGCTTCAAAGACCCTTCTTCCTCTTCTGCCTCTTTGCTCAGCTAACGCTTACTCATCCTTTAGGATTCGCCTCAGGCATCACCTTCTCCAGAGACCGTCCCCGAATTCTCTAATCGCCTCTTCTTCAGGCGCTCACCTCTCTGAGGGATGCTGTATTGCGTTTATCTTTCTGCACGTCTTCACTGGACTGCAGCTCTCCTAAGGCAGCCCCACTTCTCACTCGTATTCCTTTGCTCAGCACCCCCACCTCAGGAGTTAACATCCAGTAGACACTGAATACTAGTTTAACTGAACCAAACCACTATTAAGGCTAATTTTCCTAAAATAGGTTTCATTATGTGATTACTCTAATGAAGATTCCCTAAGGGAGAATTTTGCAGATTTTGTTCTGTAAAGGGCCAGACCGGTAATATTTTTGTGCTTTGCAGGCCAGATGGTCTCTTGTCACAGCTACGCAGCTGTCACGACCACTCGTGTCTGCCATGTAGACAGAAGCGGCCCGAGACAGTATGTAAACGGGCAGGCGTGGCTGTGTTTCAATCAGTTTTTGTTTTCAAAACCCTGTATCTGGCAGGACGTGGCGTGCAGGCTGGCCTTCCGCCTCTTCCTAACCTGCTGCCCATCACCACTGACAAGACCCCCGCAGAGCCCCAGCGCTGTCCTTGGCAGCAGCTGGTCTCAGGGGACGGGCTGCTCAGACTTGCCCCGGAGTCCCTTCAGTACTGCCCGCCATGCCTCTGTACCTGTCCTGGTTCTTCCTGTTGTGGGAACGTGCAACTTAGGTAGCCCTACCTTGGGAAGAATGTTCCTTTACTCCTTTAGCCCAGTGAGCGGTATTACCACTAAACTGAGATCTCTGCCCTGTTCGGCATCCTGCCAGCCTTGAAGCCCCTTGAGGACAGGCCTCAGGTTTTAACTTCTTGTTTATACCTTGTTAGTTGGGACCAGTACTAAACTGAGTGGTTTCTCATAGGACCCTCCTGCTGTTCTCCCAGGCCCTCTGGAGGGTTGGGGAGCCCCACGTTCTTGCATGTGTCTGATGCTGCCCTCTGCTCCCAGATGTGGCTTCCCCTCCTGTGCCTCACATCAGCTCCCTTGTTTTTCCTCTCACCTCTGGCAGGACCAGTTTGCCATGGTGAGTGACGCCGACCTCCGAGGCCTGGATGCCAAAATTGTGGCCCTCACGGCTAAGGTGCAGAGCCTACAGCAGGGCTGCCGCCACATGGAGGCTGGTAGGACTGGGCAGCCCCTGAAGGGGCCCCTAGGGTCAGGGTCAGCTAGAGGTCAGGAATTACAGAGTGGATGGTTTTGCGTCAGTGAGTTTCTGCTCGGCTGCCACAGGCATCATGTTAAAAGAGAGAACAGCTCATGGCTTTTTTTTTTTTTAGATTTTATTTATTTATTTGAGAGAATGAGATAGAGAGTACATGAGAGGGGGGAGGGTCAGAGGGAGAAGCAGA